CCCTTCCTTCCCAGTATATAGCAGGCGAGGGGGCGGGGCAATGCTTCTCCCGCTCCGCCTGATCCCGCGCTTGGCCTCCTGCGTTCCCCGGCTGGTCCTGCGGCGCGCGCCGTTACTACCGGCCCTCGCGATGGCGTCGGCGTACAGCCCCGGTTCCGGCGCCGAGAGGAGGCTGCTATTCAGGCAGCTGTTCGAGAAGGAGAGCTCCACCTACACCTACCTCCTCGCCGACGTCGCCGACCCCGACAAGCCCGCCGTGGTGAGTCCATCCAGCGCTTCATAGGTTGGGGTTGGGATTGGGATTGGCTCAGAGCTTCAGGCTATTTTGGCTCCTGGAACTGGACTGGCATTGGCTTGGGTAGTTAATTTTGGTGGGAATGGATTTGCTATGTAGCTTGACCGCGTGGCCAATATTGGGTTTCATGTGCCTGCACACAGTAAACTGAACTGTTACTATTTGCGTCGAGTTCAAACCATAACCACTGTAGCATCGGAATGTAGATGCGGTGGGTACGATTATTATTAGTGAACACTGAACCAATCTGCAACAGGATTAACTGATTTGCCTGTCATCTGCGCAACTGCTACTACTCCCTGCTTGTAATTCGTGGCCGAATTTGATCTTTGGTGATTCTTATACCTCTCATGAGTATGTTGCAATTAGTGATAGCGATTGTAATTCGTCAATTCAGAATCTGCACTTATAAAAGTTATGGAAGTGATTTCAGTTTGTTCAATTGGATTGCGTCGATTCAGTAATTTTGTAGTAGTTGGAGTTCAAACTGCTTATCCTACATCCATGGCTGATTTCAGTACTTAGTTTCAATGAATCACGTTTGCATCTGACCTGTATTGAGGGTTCCCGTATTAGAACTTGAAGCCATGCTTTAAATCGTCTGGAATTTCAGGATTGTATTGACTGAAGCAAACTAAGGGAGATTTTTTTTTCTCTCCTTTTCCTTTAATTGAATATTACATTGAAATTTTCTGAGCTGCATGTGGGTTTGTCACTTTGTCTATCAAACAGTGCGAACCAAAATTTCAACACTTGGCATAGGATACACCACATAAGTAATTAACTAAAGCAGAAGCAATTATTGACCAAGTTTTGAGCTACAGTAATGTTATCCATGCTTGATTGATGTATAAATATATAATATATATACATTTGGTCCAATACCATGATTCCATCTGATATGTTTGATTCTGTGTGATCAGCTGATTGACCCTGTCGACAGAACAGTTGACAGAGATCTTAATCTTATCAAGGAATTAGGCTTAAATCTTGTGTATGCTATGAATACTCATGTACATGCTGATCACGTCACTGGAACAGGACTAATAAAGGTAAGCAGTTTTACGCTTCTAGGACTGTTTTGATGGATTTTTCTTTTCACGGTTACATGCTTTGTTCTCTTTGGTAATATGGTTAGCTAATGGTGTGAACTTGCAGACTAAGCTACCTGGAGTTAAGTCTCTTATTTCAAAAGCTAGTGGAGCAAAAGCTGATCATTTTGTTGATCATGGGGACAAAATACACTTTGGTAACCTTTTCCTTGAGGTACAACCACATTCTAACAAACTACTTTACTACGTTCTGCTTTATCCATTTAGTATACATAAATTCCAAGATTTAAAATCTCACATACAAGGAGAATACTGTAACTAGTTCTCTTAAGCTCTTTGGTTTTCTTGAACTTAATGGGTGAGTGGTATTGATTTTGAATCAAGAATTTTGAAAATTGTTTGTCCTGTGTTTCATGAAATGTAGAAGTTGCAGTTGGTTACTTTTGTTGAAGATTTTTTTTATGCTTCCGTTAAATACAAGAGTCTGGACTTTGAAGCATTTTTTTCATGAACGCCAGTTGGCTTTGAATTCTTAAATTGGCTTAGCTATACAACTGTTCCTACTAAAATGTTTCTATAAAACTACCATTTTCTGTTCATTTTTTTTCTCCCGTATTTTTTTACTTCTTTGTAATGTTTGTAAGCTGATCTATTGTTTATACACAATTCACGTTTGAAGATTCTAATGTTTGACAGTTGAATTTTATAAATATGCTTTTAAGTTAGTTCATAGAAAATTAAGTGATGTTAATGTAAATGATTTAGTAAGTTGTTATGTAATACGTGGCATGTATTTTTATTGCTGTTCGTCTTTTGAATCCATCTATCGTTGTTTGTACATATATTATGGCTCGCAACGGAATTCTCTGAACTGTGTTCAGAAAGTTTGCGCTTATAAATGTATTGCAATTCTTGTCACATCAATAGCTGCTAAAATATGAACAAAATCCTTAAATCCATGCATATCACATACAAGATACAACCCTCAGCTGAGAACGTGCGTTAAAATTGATCGACTTTAAGGAATTTCTTGTTGTATTGGTGGATATGGAATTTTATATGGAAATAAAATATTCCATTTCAGGTGCGAGCTACTCCAGGCCATACCTCTGGCTGTGTGACTTATGTTACAGGTGATGCTGACGGGCAACCTTCACCAAGGATGGCTTTTACTGGTGATGCCTTAATTATCCGGGCATGTGGAAGGACAGACTTCCAGGTAATACGGTTAGCTAGTTTCTTCACAAGCTAGCGAACAGGAAAATAGTAGTTGTGGTCTGTCTAATCATATAAAGCTTAAGGAAGCACTATTACATACAAGTGTCTGAAGTTGCGAGGCAAAATTCTGAATTCATATGTTGGAGAAATTTTGGTTAACCGTAGATGTGTGATTTTAGAAGGGCAGGCCTGGTGCAGTGGTGAGAGCTATCTTACTGAGTCACCAGGTCGCGGGTTCGAAGTAGCCTCTCCGCAGATTTTGCGGGGGGAAGGCTTGCTTCGGTTTTTCCCTTCCTCAAACCCTACTCATGTGGGAGCCTCTGGCACTGGGTCTGCCCCCTGTAGATGTGTGATTTTCTATTAATAGCTTGCATTTATTCTGTATTATTGCAGGGAGGAAGTTCTGATCAACTGTATCAGTCAGTGCATTCACAGGCAAGCATGCAAAATCTTATCCTGTATAATTGTATGACAAAATATGAACTTAACTAACTGAAACTTTGTATCCTGATCAGATTTTCACATTGCCAAAGGATACACTGCTTTATCCTGCTCATGACTATAAAGGTTTCACGGTGAGTCGCTTGGTATCTTGAAGTTCACCAGCCAGGCTAGCAGTCACTCGATCTATGTTCTTGCAGGTAAGTACTGTTGAAGAGGAGGTTGCCTATAATGCTCGACTCACGAAAGATAAGGTAATTGGTAGTTTCTATTTAGGCTGAAATTCTTAAATAGCTAAAGGGAAAAGAAATTCTTAAATTTCACCTACCAATGTTTTTTTTTCTAATTATATATATATATATTTTTATCCAGGAAACTTTCAAGACGATCATGAATAGTAAGTTCTCTCAAGTGGATATGTACATTTGGTTCAAACCGAATTGCCACATTTCTGCTGACATGTTCACTTTGCTTGTCAAATTAATCCTCTTGTTTTGGGCTGAAAGAAAGAAGTCTGATCATTTGGTCTCATCTTGGGCAGACTTGAACTTGTCATATCCAAAGATGATGAATGTAGCTGTACCTGCCAATTTGGTCTGCGGTATCCAGGATCCACCACCGAAGATCTGAGCTGTTCCAGTGGAAGCCTACAGCGCACTTCTGGTTCTTTATGAACTCCGGATCGACACCAGAGCTGAGTTGTTCATTAGGGCTTGTTCGGTTGTTTAGGATTCATGGGCTGGAAGCTGGAATGATTGTGTAATTTGTATAACAGTTCATCATCTGGATTGGTTCCAGCCTCCGTTCCTGAATAACCGAACGGCCCCTAAATAATTTGTTTGCAAGAAAATAAACTAATCAATGGCCGGTGTAGCCTCTGGTTGTATGTGTCTAGGCACTAATTGTTTGGTAAGATCAAAGGAACAATGGCCGGAGTAGTAAATGAAGTTAGATGCCTCTCGTCTTGTGCTGCACAGGAGGGTTCTCATAAGCTGAGGAAATAGCCCTTCTGAAAACACTTTGCGAACCGCAATCATATTATTTGGATATTCTTTTTTAGAAAAGGTGAAAGGATATTCATTTTTAAAAGGTGAAAACAAAATCAAGCCGTCTGTTCTGCTGGATGACGACCATCAAAGCAGAAAACGTATACCGTGTCCGAGCTCTCTGGTTCTCTGCCCAGCAGCCCTAGGTTGTGAAAAACTAGACCCAGGCTGAAAATAGAGTGTCGGGGAGCTCATTATTTTTTGTTTGCGGCTATATATACTATGATGATAGCAACGTTCCAGCCTGTTAACTTAGATGCTAAGGTACGAGACTGGTTTAAATTGACCTGAGCGGGGTTTCCTTTGTACCAAAAAAAAAAACAGCTATTAGCAGTGAGAATCTTGCAAGTTCCTAGCAATTTCCGAAGCCTGGCAACAGGCTGCTGCTATGGTTGACTGCGACACAAACAATCAGCCTAATCGGCTGGCTGCTACAGCTGCAGAACAGTAAATCTAGTCACTGTAGCACCTAGCTACGGTCATGAAAAAAGACAGCCGGTGTAAAGTGGGTGGGTGATGGTGCATCCGTATTAATGTTCCGCAGCTGCAGCTGCTAGCCGATCAGGTCATCAGGCTGAATCACATCTGGCATCCCAATCACGTCAAACAAGGACCTAAATCTTTTTCATCAGCATGGTTCTTTGAAATTTGAATTGAAAAAAAAAAAAAAATTGTGCTTATTACCTGCTCCTCATGTAGCACGTTTCAGGCTTTCAGCTGTCAAAACTAAAATGAGATTCGGCTCTACAAACTGGCACACAAAGAGGTTAAGCACCAACACCGCCGTCCAGGCTGGAGGCCCACGTTAATCGTCTTCATCAAGAAACAACAACGCGCAAATCCTCCCAAGTTTTTTCGTGACCGCCTCGTCCTCTTCCCTCCTCTCCTTCCGTCCTGCGTTGGGCAATTCCCCAAACCTAACTAGCCTTTGCCACCGCGGGAGCTACCATGGGTGGCCAGATGCCGGACGCCGACGAGAAGGCCCGCTCGGCGGACTCCTCCTCGTCCTCTTACGGGTACCCGCCGTCGGCGCCGCCGCAGCACCAGCACCAGTACGGCACCTTCGGGCCCCCGTCCGGGGCCTCTGGGGAGTTTCCGCAGCCGGCGGTCGGGTTCCCCCAGCCGGCGCCGCCGCCCGGGATGCAGCACTACCCGCAGCCGCCGCCGGCGTCGTATGCGGTCTACCCGCCCCCGCAGCAACCCTACTCGGCCGCTGCGCCGTACTACGCCCAAGGCTACCAGGTCGCGCAAGGTACGGAAGGTCCTAGTCTCGTCTTACGATGCGAATTCTGTGCTGCATCCCGGTTGATTCCTTTCATAGGATCGATTGATCAACGGGAGGCGTTCTTTTGTCCGAGGAGTCTTGTGTGGTTGATTCCTCGTGTAGATCTTTTCTATCGCCTAACCCCTTGTGCTCATTAGGTCACATGGCATTACAGTGCAAGCTAAAAAATAGGTGTTGTCCTGCCCAGCTGCCTTCCTGTGTATCTGAACCTGCAGTTCCTTCTGCATCCTTTTTGCCATCACTTCCAAGTTGCTCATCCCAAATTAGAGGTCATTTGAGATCGGTAGTTCATGGAGCTCGAGGGAAACTGAATTGATATTTTTTTTCTTTGAACTTTGAAGTGTTCTGGAATGTTGAAGTAAATGAGCAGGAAATTTGATTTGTTGGAACAATCAAATAGATGCAGGGTAGTTCATTTTTAAATAGGTTCAGCAAAGGATTACATAAATAATTCAACTCTACAAATAACTATAAAATGAATGATTCAGTATACAATTTAGATTTATGTTCAAAATGGAGGAAGATACGAAGTCAAGAACTACATAGGAACTTTGACCTAACTTGGCTAATTAAGTTTTGCATTTTGGTGTTTTGTAGGTTATATTCCTGTTGTTGAAGGAAGGCCTGTTAGAATGCGTCCTCTTCCATGTTGTGGCCTTGGCATGGGGTGGTTTCTGTATGTTTTTCTAAACATCAATCATCTTGCAATTTCATATATGAACTCATATTGGTCTCTGAGGAACTGATGTTTCCGTTTGCTACAGGTTTATACTTGGGTTCTTCTTTGCTGCCATTCCATGGTATATTGGAGCTTTTGTGCTGATTTGTGTCCGAGTACGTGATTACAGGGAGAAACCAGGATATGTTGCTTGCACTATTGCTGTAAGTCCTTCCTAGCAATGTATGCATTGCTCTTATGTCTCCTCAAGCTATATTTATGAGTTCCCTTGTATGCTAATGGATTTTAGATGCAAAACATTCATTAATCATGTGAGGATTTAGGGCCAGTATCAGGTTTTTTTAACAGTTTTACACACACGAACTGCAAATACAGCATCAAGTCCTGTCACTAAACCCTATATCATTGACATTTCACTAGCCCCTATAGAGCTATTGGAGATGGATATTCAAATAAGAAGACTTACTGCACATTGTGTAGTTGAAGTACATCCTCTTTATGTTTTCAAAAAAGAAAAAAAAAGTTTTTAAGGGTTTAATGGATTTCAGCGTAGCTTTTGGTATCTCTTACTTGGATGGAAGCATATGTCAGTTCAACTAACAACAATTCTATGAAATGTGCTGCACAAATTTAGCTTGGCACTACATGATGAAAGTGTTTGTTACTACTTGACCATGTGATGTGATATTTAGTAGCATGGTACTGTAGATCTGTGCTTTCTCTTGCAAATTAATGCACAAAGGTTGTGCTAACTTTGCCCCCAAACTTTTTGGTGCCATGAACAGGCTTTGGTTGCTGCAATTGCTGTGCTGCTTGGCGCCACAAAAGGAGCGGAGGTGTGGTGAGCATTATGCCTTCAATTACAAGCTGTCTGTTTAATGTAAATGTTTGTTACTCGGCTACTTTGTTATCTGTGTTGTGCATGCCGTGTTGTGCGTAAAGAGGATAGGGTGGAACAAGATTGATTGATGTACGCTCCTATTCGTTGTTTGACATATACATTTGTAAAATGGAGTAGTATGAATGCACTCTCATTACTTATTTAATGTAAAATTGCCTGGAATGCCACTATGCTCTGATTGCCTGTGCCCCTGGCTACGAACTTGTCTAATCGACATATTTCCACGAGTATCGTTGAGACGTTTTCGTAGTTTAGACTTGGGAACGCATGCCACTAGCAGGTTATAGCTTGTTTGTTTATCTGCAATTGCATCATCTGAGGGCTGCTAGTTTCGTCGAGTTAGCAACTTACCATTGCAGGTACCTCTTTGTTGCTTTGTGTCTTGCGTGCTGACGAGACACGAGCCGCACTCGCGCATGAGGTGCAATTAGCAGCGCCGGTAGTGAGCCCTGCTCTGCGTGGCGCTCCAAACCAGCTTCGCCGGAGGTGCTGTACGCTGGTCCGTCAATCTACGCTGTTGTGAAACAGTGGCCTTTATTTCATGAGTGATTTTATGGAAATTCGAATAGACATTAGTAAGGAGCCGTTTGACAAGGCTCCTTGAAACACGTTTTTGTAAGAATCACTTCTTAGCCAAACAACAAAATCCTACCTAAATTCTGGTGAGTAGCAGGAGACAAGAATCATTTGTCTATTTACGCCGGAAGCTAGGAACTAAAAGCCTTGCTCCACGTTGCTCTCTATTCAATTCTCACCTACTTCTCCCACAATAGAATTTAACTAGAATCACTCCCTAGGAGGATCAAGAAGCTAGAGCTAAAAATTAAGGAGTAGAGCTCTATCAAATAGGCTAACTATCTTATAGATAGTTAACACGACAACCAAAGACAAATGGACATGTCCTTTGACACAAAAACTAGAAATGATTGCCTTCTCCTTTCAGGACATGCCATCCTTTCACTGCACCACTTCACTATGTGTATATTCAATCATCAGATCAATGCAATAAACCAATGCTTGTTTAGTTTTACATTTCACACCTTAAACATGTTATCACGCATGCTCTCTACTGAGCACTAAGAATAGATGGAAAAGGTAAAGTCCACAAAAAGAACGGAAGACTTTACCGAAGGCAACTATACTTAAACGGAATCGGCAATTGTTCATTGTTGTCGCTAATTGGCCTTCATGCTATAAGTAGAAATGTATCGCACTTCATGGCAAATCATAACTTGCAAATTCATCGATTACATCTTATAGTTAATTGATGTGGCAGAATCACCTAATCTAATGTCTTCCAGGAGTGCTCGTCTTCCATTAGACACTAAGCACTCGAAAGAGGACACTAAATTACTCGGTTCTATCGGGCACACCCCAGGAGAGAACCCGAAAATCCATATTTTTTCATCCAGAATCACAAATGAGAGAATAAAATTTACATCATTCTTAACCATTTCTTACATCACTTTTAATACAACATCATAGTATAATATTTATTATTATAACAGCGGAATGTAATCATATTATCAGAGTTATGAACAATTTAATTGAACAACGGAATATAAACATATGATCAGAATTACAGGAAAAATAATTATCTATACATGATATCATAAATCATGGATAGGTAAACTATGACAACAGATTATAAAACTTTTATTTAGTAAAATATTTTGTGAGAGTTATAAATAACAACTACGATCACAGCGTAAAGGAATCCTCCTGAGCCCACCAGGAGGTATCCACACACAAATGTCAGCTTTAGCCTCCACCTGTCACCTGCAACAGGGGGAATAAAACCCTAAGTACTCAATTGTACTCAGCAAGACTTACCCGACAGGAGGAAAGAAAAGACTCCAAGGATATGCAAGGCTATCTGGCTTGTGGGTTTATTTTATTTACAGGAAACATTACTAAGCGTGCGTCCTTATATTCGATTTTTATTAATAGCCGCATTGGTTCATTAACTAACCATCTATATAAGCACATGTGCTACTTTCAAGCAGGTGGTAAGCAATCAGATTTCCTTTTTCCATCTTTCATCTTTCAGTTCTTACTACAGTGCTAGACATAAGACAAGCCGTACCGACTCGGCGGTGATTCGCGAACCAATGTGCCCAGCTGGGGTGCCCCGAAAACACACGCCCCGCTTGTACCCAAGGCACAAGCAGGATCAACCCATCACCCTCCTGTCCTGGGGTCTTAGGTCCCTGTCCAAACTGGGACTCTAAGCCCCTGCTCCTGAGTCCCCTGAGTCACGGACTTAGTGCGGTGTAAGGACCTCCTCCACCAAAAAAAATAACCCTGACAGTCGGTCCGAAAAGAGCCAGAACTCACGACAAGAGAGCAACAAGTCTTCCAAGCGCCCATACCCAAGTATGTGCTCGGGACAATAGATATGTGACTTGCCTCGATGGCTTATGCAACGACCGGTCCTTAACCGACACAGACAGAGACAACAGTGTAACCAAGCCATGTCCCGCGTCCACGGCGACACAACCTCTTACATCCACCAATATCCAAACCATATCCCTGTCCGGTCACCATTTTTTCTTTCCACCATTTATATTTTCCAAGTGATAATAATCCAGTAATATATTTCATATCTCTCGCGAGTGACAGCCATCACTCGACTTCTACCGGAGTCCTATAGCATAGCATTCTACACGATCCTGTCATACTAGTAAGACTCATAGGATAAAGATATATTTATGCAAGTGGGTTTCATTCAACTCCTTAAAACTTAATGCATAAATATAATTTAAACTATAAAAAAGTAGGGGTTATGCACCGGGGCTTGTCTGGGTAAGATATATATTAAAAAGTTAGTATCTGCATCGTCAGATCATCCACCATCATCTGAATAGAAAGTCCATTGCATCATCTCCTGGAGAGAATACCATCTGCAGATTCCCAATCATCCTTCAATTGATCCGTTAATCCATCATTGTACCTATATGATATGCATTGATGCAAATGCATAGATGTAAATAATCAATGGTAGCCGAATGCTTAGAAACCCGATCATGCCGCACTAGCTAACGAGCTAGTTCTAACGACGTCCGTAGTTAGGCTACATATACACGTGGTCAGATAAGGCGTTATTCGAAAAAGAGCATCATTATCTATTTAGCAACCTAATTATTCTGGAGCTACAAAAATTACAGTGAGTACCTAATATTGCTAGGAGCCGACTGTACAAATTTTAGATTCAACACTATTACCAATTTATCATGTAAATTCCTACAAGTTTATATTTTATAATATTAAGTACCTTAAATTACTTATATAGCTTTCAAGAATATTATCAAACTATGTGAACAAAATATACTATTAGATAGATCATAATTTTAGAAACTCAACAAAACTGGTTTCATCATTTTTGACACCTACATAATTTTATTTTAATTTTATAAGTTTTATTCCGAAACTAAATTAGCTAAATGTTTTAGAAAGCTAAAGGAGCCAGCGGCCACCTATTCGGCCCAGTGGTGGGCGCGGCCTCAGCGAGGCCCACGGCGGCGAGCTGGTTCGGCCCTTAGGCGCACAGCGTGCGCGTGGCCCAGCGACGCAAGGCCGGCCCAGCAATGCGGGAGCAGGCCGGCCCAGGCGGGGCGCGGCGTGTGGCGCAAGCGGCCCATGCGCGGATAGGCAGCACGGACGGCCTAGGCAGGTGCGGCAGGCCGGCCCAGCTGGGTAAGCCTAGGGCGCCGTGACCATTTTGCAAAAAGAACCCTTTCCTATTTTTAAATCACATTGCAGCTATTAACACTATGTACATGCCTCACCATCTATGCGATTTAGCCCCTCCGTTTTCCTATCTTTGCCCTTCCCCAGTCCTCGAGCATCACCAGAGCAGAGCACGCCGGCTGCTCGGCGGCCAAACCCAGCCGAGGGAAGCTCTGCGGTGAGATGGCGGTGCGGGGGCCTTGTGGGGTCGCGCGCGCACTGGTGGGCACAAACGGTGCCACCAGAGAAGCCCCGTGGCGGCTCGACCACGCGCGGTAGAGGCGAGCAGGGCGGTGGTGAACGACTCGCGCGACGGCGAGGGCATCGGGCATGGTTCCACCCCAGCGCCGCACGCGTGGGGCACAGTAGGTCGAGGCGGAACCGCTACTAATCACATAAGGCTTGGGGTGCATCCGAGTTGAGTTGGTCACGGGCACAGCCATGACGGCGACCATGGCCGTCCGGTCCAAGGTGGTGGCGTGGATGCCAGGGCTACGGATACACCAACGGAAGGAGGGGGAGCATCAGGGAGTTACCACAAATGCCGCCGCAGACTGGTTCGGTTGGAGGCAGCGTGGAAAGTGCTGGCCACGTGCGCGGTGAAGGGATGGCGGCGCACCGAACTGGCACCTGTGCGCCACTCCATCTTCGGCGACGTCTCCCACCAAACTATGATGAGCATCGACACCGGTAGGTCAAGGGTAGTCTAAGAGTGCGAGCAATCGAACTAATACCGATCGTGGAGACTTACCCCAAACGTGCTCTGTAACGGCGGCGAGCTGACCGGCGGCGACGAAAATGCCAAATTGGTCGGCAACCGTGCACTTATGGTTCTCTATGCGGGTTGGGCGTTTAGCTAACTTCGTGACCTAGCTACTGACGCGAAGAATCAACTCGAGACGGACCACGCGTTGCAAATTTGAACGGCGCCTGCCGACAGCAGCACGAGGGCGCGGCAGGGCACAGTGCACAGCAGCGCGCGACACAGGGTGTGCATTGACTTGCTGTGGTGTGCGAGTGACAAGTCAACTACGCTATCGGACAACGGAGATGGGCGGGTACTCAACAGGACCACCTGGCCATGTCCGGGAGGGGGCGGCTATAGCGAAACGATGAGCACGTGGGAAGGGCAATGACAATCCGACACGGTGGTAGCTCAACGAGACGGCCACAGCGCAGGAGCAGCAACACAGCGTGCAGCAGTCCCACGTAACG